GTTATAAAAAGTGTTATTTAGTAAACATTTTCAAAGCACTATTTTCGTATCATTTTGTTACAATAATACGTTATAATGCATGACTGGCACTAGACTAGTATAATAAACATTGTGAAGAAAAGATTATCTTAGCGTACTCTATTTTAGTGTTACAGATTATAGAGTATCCCTACATTATAAAGAATAGTTTATTTCGCACCCATACTAGTAAAACCTATTAAATGACAATATTATTACAAAAATGAGCGAAATGTACTATTTGGTATAAAATTTCAAGTTGCATACACAAGTAAAACTAAATTCGTTTTGGTAAAAATTGTTTGGAAAATTGTTTTTCTAGCAAAGGTGCGATTTTAGAGTGCAGATGGCAACTCTAGCTGAACCTTAAAACCACTTCTGTTTAAATAAATATGTATTTAAGAAGTGAATATAAAAATATTATGTTAAATTCACTTCCCAATTTCTAATGAACCTTTGTCCCTCTGTGGCAATGAAGTTACCTCCTTCCATTTATCAAAAGGAATTACGTTACGCCCGGGAGTAACCAAGGCGACTGTAACACTATGAACAGGCAATGAATTTTAGACTACAACACTTGGTTAACTAAGTCGGGTTTTCAATGTGACAACATTTTGAACGCCTTCGGGGATATTTGAATTAAACAGAAATGTGTATGTTAGTTTAAATCTCCCGTAAATTTTTCAAAGGGATTCATACTACTGTAATAAAATCATTATTATATAATAAGAGAAATAAATAAAGATAAAAATGAAATTATTCTCCAAGTATTTAAAAAAATACAAAATAGAGGAAAGTAACCAAAATTGCAATAGTATGCTTAATCAGAATACTGAAATTACTTTCTTAATTATTCTTTATATAAATTTTGATAAACTTTGAAATAAGTCAGGAAAATCCGGAAACAGATCGTGAATCTCCCCGCAACCTACGCAAAGGTTGGTAATAGAATAGGATAGGTGATAAAAAAAAATCATACTCCGTGCTATGGATGACACGTTCGGTTAGTCCTGGCTACTTTTTTGTCGTTAGCACACACCAATCCACACTAGGTCCAATTTGTGATTCTATCCATATCCAAGTCAGCTGATGATGGTAACTCAAAGTAAAGATTAATATACTGTACTATTTACAGCATGTGCTCGAAATGCTGTGAAATTGCGCTTCGTCAGTCCAAATTAAGCATAAAATAAAAAAATAATCAAGTCTGAAAAATTAACGTACAAAATTTACACGATAAATTAGGCATGCAATTTAAAATGGTCTGTGTACGGTAGCGTGACCTTCAAAATTAACCTTCACATTTCCACCTCCGAGGTGTAATTCCCTTGGCGATGTACGCAAGCATGGTAATTTACAGGCCACTGAAATTAACGGCTTAATCCACCAGTTAAATGGGCTCAATGTTTCCTTTTCAGGTTGTACGTGAGACATTAACCATTTTATATCTGTACCAGCTACCTTATTCTGTAATTCTGAGGATAACCGAAATAAGTTGTTCACAGAGCTTTGTGGGCAAGCGGACAAACGAATTAGTGATTTTGACACATTGGAATTGTTTATTTTTTTACGGTGATTATGACTTCAAGGTGTCAGTTAAGTTACCGAATAGGCCTGCAGGTAATATTATAAAGAAGTCGTTTCTAACTTTGTTTATTTGTTTGAAGGAGAGCAATCTCAGAAAATACTGATCCGATCATGAAAATTCTTTAATCTACCAGAAGCTTTTGACCGCGTTTCTACCGCGTTGAGTATACTCTATTGAATTCTGAGTGCATTCGAATCAACTAGATGTATTGATCACCGTATCATACAATACATTATTGAAAATTGAGTGCATTTTGATTCAATCAAAATACACTCAAATCAGTTAGTAGGCTTGCTGATTCCTTTAGTAAGTAAAGCTTTTGTATTATGATAATCTATGTTATGCATAACTAATATAAAACCGTCCAGACCCGGGAGCATAAAGATAAGATTATATTCTATTTTCACAGTTTCAGTTTTGGCATTTTTAATTGGAAAATATTTTATATTCTTTTATATGATTCAATACTCTTTGAAACTTGAATCAATCATATTTCTAGACTACACTAAATAAGATCAATAGAGGTTAATAGTGTACCAGGGCAACTAAACATACAACATGGATTGAACATATACAACATTAAACCATTAAGACCACTTTAAAAAGTCGCACGTTCTGTCTTTAATAAGTTGCACATTAAATCAATGACTATATATATATTTTTTTCAAACAATACTTTAATATTTAATAATTTGAGTATATTAAAACTGCAAACGTAGATATTAAGAGTAAGCTGCAGTGCAGACCTCGAGTCCATTCTTTTATCTTGTGAGTTTAGTTTTTATGAGTTAAATAGCCGTTCGCGTGCCCTTTCTTTCTGTTAAACATAATACAGCCTTGCGTGATCTTATTGTTTCGTTTTGTTACCATTTCCAGTTCAATGATACACGCAATAGCAGCAAAACAGGGCCTGCAGTCTCGGCAGAGTTTGCGATTGCAATCTTACAGAGTTCCGTCGCAAATTAATAGCGATCGTAAGTTAACGATTATTGCGAGTCTCTACAGTTAGATATATTGTCATTTGTTAGGCGTGTACCGAGGCAATATTTAGATCGGGCCCTGGATGAAACAGCTTTTCCATTTATAATATTAATAAGGATAATTAGCATTAAACGAGTTTACTTTCGAAATCCCTTACACATTATTCGTGTTATGACAATTTGTATTATGGTAGTTGGAAGTCAATAGGCTGGCATAATTGGAGTACCTGACGTCACTGAATGAGCTCTACAATCAACCGTGATTCGTAATCGATTCCCGGTAACTCTACCAAGCGTATAATGAACGAAGCAGACAGCAAGATAATGAATTCAGTCCGTAACATAAATATTGATATGGTTTCTATCAATAAATAAAAATTAAGAAATCAATCACTCGTCATCTCTGACGTCTTGGGTTGTATTCCCGGTCGGGTCAATGGAGAAAATTTTATTTTTATTTTTATGATACTAATCGTATTTTACGAAATTTGGTATATGGACAATTTTAACCATGATTACATAAACATACTGTTACTGTTTTTTACTATTTTTATCCCAGTGATAGGGATATTTTTTTTTTATCAGTTAATTTATTTGCAGCTTTAATTTATCCTGTGGACTTATAACTAGCACCCTATCCAGTTCGAGCAACTTTTCTATTCGATAAAAAAATCATCGTGGGAAAGCAACGTCGGACATATTGATAGGTAATCAGCATCTATAACGAGAGACTTCTAAGTCCCATAGTTGACTGCAGAAAAGACACTTTTTTATTTAAAATGGGCTCACAATTGATTCAATTCAGCTTTGGGCTGAGATGAGAGAGATAGAGAGAGACAAAAATGGAACAAGCTTGCCCAAAAGGAATCTGCTATCTCTTGACAACAACAATTTTATTGTGTTTCAAAGTAAATAGATACACATTCCTATAGCTTAATCATGAGGAAATAGTCTAAATTAATTACTGGAACTTGATTATCACCACGTTATTATGAACTAACGTAGATAAGTACCTGATACTCAACAAAATCATTCAAAACATCACATTTTACTTCCGAGAGGTGATAAAATCGGCGACAGCATTTGATAAATCATTGATTACTATAGACTAAATATTAAATTTATACTATATAGATAATAACTTTTTATTTGATTGATCAATAATAAATACATCATTAAACAGATAGATTAAATCGATAAATTCTTCTTAGCCTTCATATCGATAAAATTCATAACAAAATGACAAAAAAAACTCTAACCTTGATAAGTTTGACAACAGCTGCGCACATGGTGTTGAATCACATGAATGTCTCCCGGCGACATTAAAAAAAAACACACATACACATTTTCACTTGGAAGTCAAATTTTATATAAACTTGGAAACTGTAATACAAAGATCAATGACCTGAACAGTAAATTATTATATTTGACGATACGCTTCATCAGCTGACGCTAAATAATAATGCGAGCTCATGAGTGCGTGTCACTCTCGCGCCAAAACGTCATTCGTAACAGACGCTTCTAGTGTATTTGCTAAACGATAGGCACTAAAGACGTCCTTATGCCTGTTGTAATAAGGTCGGCCTTTCCACGAAATATTTGCTATCAATTTATAACGTTTTGTACTAGATGGCGCTGATATACAAAGAGTAATGTCAATATGTTGCTTGGTGTGATAACATTTAACAATGAGGAAACGAATTTAACCCGCATTTAGTTACCACATAATAAATAACATACAGTTATAGGTAACTAATTTTGTTCAACAAATAGAAAACTTAAAACATTTTATTGATCTATACATGTTATAAAACAGTCGCTTCCCGTTGTCTGTACGCTGAGATCTTATAAATCACACAAAGGTTTTTAATGCAGTTTTCAACGGCAGATTTGTTGAAGAGAAAGGTTTATCAATTTAGATATAATACAAAAGCACGCGGGCGAAGCCCCTGGCAGGAAGCTACTACCTATTAAAAACGTATAGGCAATATATTATATGGTTCTTAAAACATTTTAAAAAGGCTTTACTTTAGAACGTAATACCTACCTATAAGTGAAGTTCTAACCCAACCATCCCACCTCTACATAAATATGTTCCAGAGTCACAATCGGTCACAGTGACTCACAGAGGACGTTAGTCTTTGATCGGAGTGCAATTCATAGCAATGAATCTTATGTGTTTTTCAATATTGTTTCTTAAGTTAATAAAATTAGAGTTAGTTTTGTTTCAGCGCTTATTTTTAGACAGAAAAGAATATACAATCATTTTTGTATGTACGAGATACAAAAACTATGTGTCTTTGTAATAGAAATTGAGTTTTAATGCCTAGCGCTTAAGCTGATTTCGGTTCAGCATTTTGTTGTAAAAAGCAAAATATATAAGTTGCTCTTCTGTATATTAGTATAGAAGCTTTGTGGCTACAAATTTATAATGTAACGTTTTGTCCAATGTTATTAATTTAAAGGAATGTTATTTCAACGCAGACGTATGTGTACATATATATTATAATACGAAAAATACTGTATCGTCCCACAGTGCGTCAGCCGGTGTTTTGTAAAGCGACACAACTAGTCAAGCCAGACTTTACCAGCAGTACGAAAGGCGATCGTTAGTCGAACAGCCGTTTGCTCGGTTTTGCTGTAGCATAATGTACATTTTTAGTTATCTCTTAGTGATAATATGCTTAGTAAACATACTGTTAGCACAGATAATAAAGCAAAATGTCAAAGTAAAGACAAGTGAAGGCACAGTGATCGGTTTCAAAGAAAATGATAGCAATTATTATGGATTTTACGGCGTTCCATACGGGGGAAAGAGCTCTGGTGAATATAGGTTCAAAGTAAGCTTATTTTATCGAATAATAATACCTTGCAATGACTAAAGAGTAACGTTATTTAGTCTATGAATGTTGTTGCGTTTCATTTTTAACTTCACTCCGATACTCGCTATCTCTTACATTACGTATAGGTAGAAAGAGTACAGCATATAGTATATTGTTTGACCTCGAAATGAAATACTCATGTTTCACGTACATACTTTATGTTTGAGTAATTTATTTGTTTTATTGTTCATTTTATAAGACAGATTTTTTTGTTAAATAAAACGCATTTGTAGTTAAATAAAAGTGAACAGACACAGTTTTGGGTTCCCCAACGATAATGGAAATATTGTTAAGCCAAAGCATATTACAATTAGTTTCTTTTATTTTTAGATCAATATTGGCGGTCGTATTTTTTATTTTACTTTTAATTTCTGTAATTTACTGATCAGTGTATTAATGTATTACCGATTTTGCTATAATTAAATAAAAATATCGTACTTTAAACAATGTACCTAGTGTTACTCGGGATGACGTAACATTTCTAATGATCCTATGCATTCATATCCTCATAAGGAATAAAGGAACTCATTATACATACATACACGAACCCTAACACAATACACTCCTTTCTGGGGGGTCGTGTAAAAAAGATTACTCCTGTTTAGATATTCTCCCTGAAACATGCACGAACTATGAAACTACTATCAAGTTTTTTTTTCTTTCGCCTACTAAATAACAAAATCAAATAATATACTAAACTGAAAGGTTTTAAATAAAAATTATAATATTTTTTAAAGAAAAATGCTTAAATAATCCACCAGTTCCCAGTTTCAACCTTGAAATGCTCGCCTGGTGGATTTAAACATTTTTTATTCATTTCTTTTTAAGTTTGTACTTTAGAAAATATGTTTAAAAAACCTACACACTACATATACTCAACTGATTCGACTCGATGATTCACATTTATACAAGGAAAACAAACCGATACCATCCAAAAATAAAACAGCATAAAACTGAGAACTTGGACCGCCATACAAGTTTGAGCGCTCATTATTTGTCGGTTTCTGTGGTTATATCCAATTAGTTTTACTACAATTTAAAATTCTTCAAACCGTCAACAGACCTGGCTCAATATACAAAATGACAAATTTCCTCATTCGATTTTAAACTTTAATACACTTTGGGTAAAGATCAAAATCCATTGCTGAAATTTGACATATTGTTGTGACCCGACGTGCAGCCGTGTGTTATGTATGTTAGCATGCTTAGAATTTTAAAACTTTACTATGCAAATCAAAGCGAATTATTAATGCGTATTCATAGTTCTAAAAAAAATACGTCGCGTTGGGGGCGCGTATTGTATTTTACACGCGACGTACTTTTTAAAGACAGGGTTTTTGTGTGGGGGTTTTTTAAATTTTATACTTTTTGTAGGTACATACATATTATTATGAAAATTCTTGTCGAAAATTTTTTAATTTATATTTAAGGTAAAGATTACATTTAAGGCCAAGCTTGTTCTTTTTCAAATTTGTTAAATTACTAGTTTTTGTTTCTATAACCAATAATGGTAACTTAATGTTTATATTGAAATAAAATGAAAATATCTTTATTCAAGTAAGCTTATTTCAAGCACTTTCAAGCACATATAAGTTTTCTACTCTTTAATATAATAATTTTCTCATCAACCGAAGCTAAGAACACTCTCAATTACGTCATCAATATTCTCTTTCAGTGCACTTTCATTTAAGACGCCACTCTATATTTACACCTTAAATAAAAAAAATGACTAACCATTCGGGAGCTACGACGTCTCAGACAGACACACACGCGGACACGTCAAACACCCTTCATTTTGCGTCGGGGGTTAATAAGTTGTGTGGATTGGACGATAAAAATATTATTGCAATAAAAGCAAACATTAAAATGAAATTTAATTTGATATAAATTTATATTTAAGTGTTGTTGATAGTTGTTTACTCTATACTAGCTGACCCGGCGAACTTCGTACCGCCTTATACCCGTATTTTTTTTTTAATCTTATATACAAACCGTGTCATGAATCGTGGAACACATAAAAAATAGAATCATCCAATTTGGTGCAGTCGGAACTGGAATTCTGAAGTTGTGCGCGTACATACGAAAAAAAAAATGGTTATTGTGGGTTATCCTTGAATAATATATACCACCGCGGACTTTTTGTAGATCTATAAAAGAGGTACAATTCCACCATCCAATGTTTTGTTATAACTCAAAAGTTTTTGGCAGCGTTTTCGAGGAAAGCTTCCGATCGGCTCTATTTTTTCCGACATATTGAACTAATATTGTTAGTTTGTACAAAACCTAAACTTATATCAAGAATTGCTCTATCTGTTGTTGAAAACCGCATCAAAATACGTTGCGTAGTTTTTAAGATTTAAGCATAAGTAGGGATAAAGGGACAGAGAAAGCGACTTTGTTTTATATAAGTGATTTACTCTATATGCAATATATATTTGTTTGTTACATTATAAGGACACGAATCCATATAAACCTGTCATTTTGAACTATAAAAAGTTAATATATTTTTAGTAGAGATGCGCCGAAAAATAATTAACGAAGACCCAAATACCGAATGATATTCGGTATATAATATAATAATTAGAAAAAATATTAAGATGAATATCAAAAGTTTAAAATATTTTTAAAAATATTTTTTCCTGAACTACCCAGGACATAAACAGTCCTGGGTTAGAGCTATCGCCCGGATTGCGAAAGGTCATCTAAGAGTACCCGAGGCTGGTGGATTTTCAAGCATTTTTCATTAAAAATACATTCCAATATAGCATTGTGAATGAAAAATTGATAAAATATAATAATTAGAACAAATTTTCATCTTAATCGAAAGTTTCAAATATTTGTTAAAATATTTTCTTTCGACAGTTCGTCAGACCTGTTAGGTCTTGGGTACTTGTAGTTTGTTTTTTTTTAAGGAAGGTAATTGTTTAATTATCAAAACTTTACAAACATTTAATTACCTATTTTTATATATCTCATTCATTTCCCAGTAAATAATAAAAATAAAATTCATTTATTTAGCAACTGAGGCTCATTTTTTAGTAAAATACATATCTTTAAAACGTATGTTAGTAATTATTGCACAAATTTAATAATTTAATCCATTCATTAGCCATTCCTCGTTTGGTCTTATCGACACAAGTGAGTAATGTGTAAAGTTTATCAGTTCCTAGCACCTATTTGTTTTCAACAGATAAAGTGTCACATGGAAAAAATAATAAATGCTATTATAGTATAGCCGATTTAATGTAACGCCACATAGCCTATAGCATGCAGACAACTAAGATACGATACGCTTCTAATGATACCTCTTTGTACAGTTACGATTATAACCAGCCAAAATCATAACCATCTTTTTCGCTTCGCATACAAATATAAGCATATTCACTATAATGGGTTTGGTGGTAAAATTTCATTACGAAAAGAGTTGTGTTTACACATGTGTTAAATAGAAAACGATAAAAGATATTATAAAAGTGTGAAATAGGTTGGTAAATTGAGGATACTTGGGAGTTCCGACCTACGTTCGAAAAATTACTGAAACTAGGATTCGGTTGCTTTCCCGTGTTTATAAAAAAGAATTAATATCTTATTAGATATACAGATGCCGCTGCCCACATTTTCCCAAATGACTTCTGACATCGAAATCATCGCTTGGGTCATATCACGTCGTGATAAGAAAGTGGCTCATATATTTATAGCTGGGGGTTACGATTATTATTATTATAAAAGGCTGGGAAACGGAAACCCTTAAAGGGGAAATGCGGAATGAGAAACTCTAGGATCATAGGTACCTATTGGATTTTGAGGAAGATTCTATTTTAGAAATTCTTATTGTTATCATATATTTTAATATGATAACAACTTTACGCAATCATGTCCTAATTCTAGTATTTTTATGACTAACAACCGCCATTTTTAATCCAACGATAAAAATTCACATCTAAAACATCAAATAAGGGTCTATGATGTATGTGTGAGGTGTATGAGTAGACGAAAGAAAAGGAAGGAATTTATAATAGAACTGATATTATTTAAGCATCATACAAAATATCTTACACATTTCTTATTATAAAAGTATAACTATGAATCAAATATTCAGTCATTAAAGAATCAGTAAACTAACCATAATATACTGTATTCATAATTGAAATAAATGCACTTTTTATATACATTTTTTAGTTCATTGACTAAAAAGGTGTTATTTTTCAGGAAGCGCCCCCGCCTTCAAAATACGAAGAGTTAATAGCGAACAAGACAGATATATTATGCGCCCAACCAAGCCCCACAGGAATGATTGGAGTTGAAGATTGTCTTACACTAAACATTTTCACCAAAGATGTCAACATTACCAAGCCAGTGATAGTCTGGCTGGGTGGAGAAGATTATTCTGAGACAATTAGCGTGAAAAACTACTTATACAAATCTTTTGTTGATAATGACATAGTTTTAATTGACGTTAATTACAGGCTTTCTATATTTGGTTTCCTCTGTCTTGGAGTGGAAGAGGCACCGGGCAATGCAGGATTAAAAGACGTAATGCAAGCATTAAAATGGATCCAAAATAATATCAAAGCCTTCGGTGGGGACCCTAACAATATAATCCTATTAGGACATGGTTCAGGAGCTGCGTTAGTTGATTTAGTGACTTTATCAAAACATTCCAATAATTTAATCAGTAAAGCAATAGCTATAAGTGGATCAGCACTATCTCCTTGGGCAGTAGCATACGATCCTGTAAGTTATGCTAAATCGCTAAGTGCCAATCTGGGAATACGCCTTGAAGATAAAAATTTGATTGCTAAAACACTCAAAGCTACAGATGCAAAAAAATTAACAGAAAATATAAATACTTTTAAATTTACAAACCAATCGGTACTATTTGCCCCGTGCATAGAAAATGTTAAATTGAAAGGATGGTTTTTAGATGATGCACCTATAACTTTGCTAAAACGAAAAGACTATAAACCAATTCCATACATAGCTGGTTTTGTTGATAAAGAAGGCACCATAAAAATAAAAGAGGCTCTGAACGATAATTGGTTCCCAAGAATGCAAGAGAATTTCACTCACTTTCTACCCATAGACTTAACATTTACTGATGAACACACTAAAGACAATATCTCGAGATATATACGTAAAAGTTACTTTGGAAACGATATGATTTCAAATTCTACTATAGAGTCTTTCCTAGATTATGAAAGTGACAGTTTAATAAAATATCCCATACTAAAAAGCGTCAAGGAAAGGGCTAAAGCTTCAAAAAACTCTACGTGGTTATTTACTTTTTATTATGAAGGGGATCAGAATAACGGTTGGAATAATGATGGCGTACACTTAAAAGGGGTAGGTCACGGCGCAATACTGGATTATATATTTGATAATGTAAAATCAGATACAGTTAATCTCCAGGCAAAGCAATCACTTGTAAGAAGAATCGTTACATTCGTTAAGACTGGGTATGTTTAACAATTTTAATATTCTTTATTATTACTAATATCTATGTTATCATCGATCTACATACCGTGACTCTGCAGGGTAGGCAAATTATTAGAAAAATGTAAAATTCAAAACTCTCATAATACAAAAAATGCTTCTGTTTGAAACAGTTCTCCTAATAATTTAATAACTTTATTTTTCCTGGATAATCAGAAATTACAAAAACTTTATTTCTTTTTTAGTATTCCTGATATTACCGAGGACAGAGCGACTTGGGATCCAATAACAGACAAGGATTTCAACTACCTGAAGATCTCTGGTTATGGAATACATTTCAATGAATTCGTTTATAGTGACAAAATTAATATGAAAGTACCATGGGAAAATATTACCAATACCTACTACAGAATGCCAATGGCAGTTTCTTCAGGAACAAATTTGGTTGTTTATTCGATACTTATGGTTATATGCCAGTTAATAATAAGCATTATGTAACGATTCTAACTTCACCGTGTGGTTTAATGAGAGAAGAGAGCAATAGATATGCCAGAGATGAATGTTACAGATATAATGAGATCTGGCTATCATAATGTTACAGAGCGTAATCATTTGCCGTCGATTTTGCTGCACTTAACAGCAGCCGTTCTATAGATTTCATTCTGGGTGATGTGTCCGTAGAACAAAGGATAACCTAGATGAAACTTACTACTGAACGTCAATACGAGTACTTTAGTTAGTGGCGGATTAACTAGAACGCTAAGTGGATTGCGCGCAAGGCGGTAGAATTTAGTGTAAATTAGGGATAGAGGTTAGTATAGGCGCTGTATAATAGCCTACTGGCGTTAAATGTGTAAATCTACTACTAATAAAGTTCCTGATCATCGCCAAAATTATTGTTATGAACTGGGATATATCGCTCACTGAACAGTACAGTGGCACAACTCAAAAACCATAATTTTGAAGAAGACGCTCTCCGAAGTTATGAAAATCTAATATATTTATAATTATGAAAATCATTTTTCTTAGCATGACAGTTAAATCGTTTGTATTATATTATTACTGTTAAGTTTTTTATTTTTTCTTTAAATTATCTATGGAATGCCACCACAATAATTTGGCGTTATCTCGAAATAATGGTTTTTGAGTTGTGCCACTGTACTTATTCAGTGAGCGATATATATGGCTTTAGGATAACGTTCACCAGTGGCTTTAGAATTCAATTGCACGCTTTTTAGGCAATTATAGTTGCTCGCGTCCGTAGATTTTTGATTCCCGACACGTAGTCCCTGGCAGGTGCTAAATGGGAAACGATTATGAGCAAAAATTGGACCCATATTTATCATAAGAAATAGTTCTTTAGCGAGCGTATTCCCCTTGTTTCTAATTAGCAGGCAAACGGGTCACTGTTACTTGTTGGGAAAAAAAATGAAAATTTTCCAAAAAGTAACAGTACTGCATTTTGGACTTTTATATTTGTTTTTACCGACCCCGAATAGAAGTGTTACCTTTCTGTCACTGTAATTGTCACGTGTATGTACATGCACAGCCGCAAGTCATACTTATGACAACATACTTATGTTAACAGAAAAAAATGTCACGGTGACAAAAAGTTAACAGTGCGCGCAAAACCTAAATCTCCGAGAGACCATTAATTTTTGGCGGTTTCACTTCGAGTGATGTGTATTAAATTACTAGCTTTTTGTTATGTTATTTTTTCTGGTAAGTATAGGTAGTACCAATGAATATTTACGTTGCAGCCAAATGGTTAAAACAACCATTCAATTGGGCAACTAACCCTTTACTTGAATGCCACCATTCAATTCCACGCCTACCTAATCCACCTAAACGATTAGCAGTGTAGACGATCACAACGTTATTTCGTCTGTAGTACGACTGTACAAAGCAGAGCCAACTGGTAAATATCTATCACTTTTAAATGACTTTCAAATCAACCATCTTATTGAATATTTCAATTGTCATAATAGTATAATTAGAATTAGAAAAGTAACAATTGAATTGCGCCATTCAATTAAAGGCCTACCGTCCCGATTGTATGGTTGTTTAGACCAGTTACATACATATATACTAAGTACTACCTAATTTGTTAAGTCATCCGATAAGGCAACTTTAAGGCTGAAGACAATTATATTTTCCTATTTATTAAATTTAGGTGGATACTTTTGTGATTTAGGTTAGTTTCGTATCAATTTAATGTTCGTTTTATTTATTATTAAATGAATAACCTACATTATAATGTTTATAGCTTCGCGCCTTAAGCCTCATCGGTTTGACTAGATGCTGCAGTCGCGTTAGTGTTTTTATCTAAATGTATACTAAGCGATATTGAGATGACGAAAATTTTACAGAGAAAAAAAAATAGTTAAGAAATCTGTCTATAAAATGTCATAAATTTAGAATTATTGAAATAATATGAATTTATGAAAAAAAGGGAAGTGAGGAAGTGGGAAAAAAGACAAGTGATATAAAAAAATATGATATAGATCTCTGATATTGAAAGGTCGCATCAGATATATTGTTATACTTGAATAAATCTTGAGAAAAAAATTCTCACTCGATCCATAATGGATCTTTTGAGAATAAACGAAAGGAGCAAAAGGAGGACGAAAGACTGGAGACGAATGAAAAATATAATTGTGAAAATAAATATTATTTTATCAACAAAATAAACGCAATTTCAAGCTGAATGAGTACCTTTATTTTTTTCTACGACCCGCCGGGTTTGAAGGAATTCACGGTAAATATTGTAGAGTTTGTATTCCGCGTGCATACGTACATGATGGCGCGGTCCAAGGACATAAGTCGAAAAGACAATATCGGCAACCAGAAACGCACTACCAATATTGAATCTGCCGCTAATTAAATCGCTCTGATAAATCAGTACGGATCTATATTAAAAAACACAATGCGATTAAAAATCGACCACTCAAACGTTCAAAAATTATATAGACCAAATTATATGACAATTAAAGATCGCTAGTGTATTCTTGCTCTTAAAAGTTTGTGCCTTGTTATAATAAGCGCCGGTAACTATCCCGTTTAACGGCTTATTCCGTTTATCCACCCTAAAACAGCCACCCTAAGGTGGATACTCGGAAACATGTGTTTATCTATCCACCCTGAACGGGGTGCATAACAGGAATCCGCATTATAACTTTACTTCCGATTTTCTCCCCCGCCTGTGTACAGTCATTTAAAAAAACATATAAACCCAGCCAAAGATACATTGGATAAAGAAAAAAATTTGATAATGAAAATGTGATTTTTATAAATACACGATAGAAGATTCGTGTAGTAGACAATTTTATTCCACTTTACTTGGGGTAATAGACGGGGTGGATAGACTTCCATCTACCCACCCCGTTCAGGGTGGAGATGAACACGTGTTTCCGAGTATCCACCTTAGGGTGGCTGTTTCAGGGTGAATTAACGGAATAAGCCCGTTTAACGTCGAATTGGTATGTTGTCTACACAGATAACTTCCAATAGATGGCGCATGAAATACCGTAAGCCGAAGCCAAGCATTTATGATTCTGCATAGATCGTTTAAACAAAAGTAGTAAAACGCGTATGCGAATACTCAGTTACGACCAAATGTTCCGATCTATGAATATATCCTTTGATGAGAAGACTTTTCTTCATAATAAATTAGTTATTAGGTACATCTAGTTGCAAGAAAGATGGTATAACTTTTCACCAGTAATATAAATTTTACTTGTATTTTTATTTCGCTGAGTTCAAGTTATAGTGGACAGTTAAAGGTAAATTTACAAATATGCAGCATGCGTTGCTGTCTTCTTAAAACCCATCCCTTTCTCTCATTACATTAATTAGTATCTTTATTTTATTCTGACAAAGACACGTATGATAAAAGTATCGCTTCTGCTGGTTTTTTCTTGGTATGATCGATATCGATATCTACATATGTAAACATTGATAGGTATTGTTACTATTACAGAAAAAAAATTGTAACCCGTGCGCAAATTAGTATACAAAAATACTCCAAGGTTAATAAATAATATTTGTTGTTATCATTACCTATGTTAACTAGTTTAGGATATTTCAGAACATATGTAGTTTTAAATTTCATTAATTATTTTCGTCCTATTTAAATACTTGTTCGGTATTTAAAAGTTCAAAGTTTGCGACTTTTGCATTCTTCGTCTAAATTAACCCCTTTTTGAAGATTTAACTTAATATTTTTATATGAGCCCGGTGGCGCTACACTCATTTTTATATATGTTTTTGTGTCTCAGTGCATGCAGCTCGTCATAACTTTAAATTAGAAAGTGTAGCAGGTAAACTAGTGCTACAAGAAATGCAAAAATGGTTATGTTTTGGGGAACTATGATTCTATTGGGGTTATAAATACACGTTTTATAAACACATCTATATTTATTAAACAAAATAGTCATTATGCGGTATCTATTGAATGTTATTTGTGGTTGTCTATAAGTGAAAATACAGGTTTCTGTTAGATGTACGTAAGTACATAGGAAAGACAATAAAAGCAACATAGAAAATATAATACAAAGATTGGCCAAATGTTTTTCACTACCGTGTGGTACCGAATTTGTAGGGAACGCGGTCAGTCGACTAGCAGCAGTTCCACAAACACAGAACCGTAACTCTGAAACTATTGAAATGAAATGAAAACATCTTTATTCAAGTAGGGTATTACAAGCACTTTTGAATCGTCCAAAAAAAATTTTTCCGCTACCTCTTGTTCAGGACGTCATTTAGCTGATAAGAACAAGCGAAAGGAACTTACCAGCTTTTTATCATAAGTAAAGACATTTACATAAATCATATCATTACCAAAATAATATGTATTATCACAATAATAAATACAACTTTCAAAGTCTGTAGGACATAGGTTGAACATATAATTAGTCTTTATAGAACAAAGCGAAGGCTATTCATTCCATGCATTGCGATCCTTAAAATAATCATCAACTTTATAATAGCCTTTACTCATAAGTATGTTCTTTTCATGAATTTTAAATTTATTTATGGGTAGGTCAACTACATTTTGTCGAACTTTATTGAACATAGCAATGCATTTACCCAGAAATGATCCTCTGGTTTTCTGAAGTCTGAAGCTTGGAACGGCAAGTTTATTTTTATTTCTTGTGTTAAGATTATGAACACTACTTTTCATAATCTTAACACAAGAAATAAAAGTTGTGAAGGAAACGTAATATTTTCTTGCGTACATAATATTTTCATAGATGTATTGAGAGGCAACAGTCAAAAGATTTATTTCTTTAAATATTTCTCTAAGAGATTCTCTCTAGACCGTAAATTATATATAGCGCGGACAACTCTCTTTTGTAAAATAAAAATATCTTGAATGCTAGCCGCAGAACCCCACAACAATAGACCATACGTCGTTACACTATGAAAATAACTAAAATATACCAATCTTGCCGTTTCAACATTTGTCAAGAGTCTAATTTTCTTAACAGCAAATGCTGCAGAACTCAGTCTACTTGATATATTATTATC